ACACACACACACACACACACACACACACACACACACACACACACACACACACACAATGTGATGGAAGGGAGAAGACAAAAAGAATTAGTTTATGTCTAACATTCTTTCACCCTTCGTGTGCTTGCCTATTTGGCTTTAACAACTCAGCCGTCCCCATCAATTAGTCTAGATGCTGGACTTTCATTGAGATTAAGTGACTAATATCAGTGCTTGCTCACAAGAAAGACACTTTTCACGTCTGCCCAACAATCTGTTAAGTCAAAACACATGTGGTAATCCAAGGCAAAAAGCCTGCAAGGGGTCCTCTATGCAATGAAAAACAGGTGCTCTAGTTTTTGGCCATGTAATACCCCATTTACCCTCTGGAGCAAAGGTTATCCAGCTAATAGCTGCCTTGTGGTGCACTGGGAAGAGCTGTGCACATGGCCCAAGTAAACATCTGGGACGGATTGTACATACTTGCAACATATGCTTCAAGTTCAATTAAAATGAGGCCTTGGCACATTTATTAATCTTTTTTTCCTCTCCCTTTGCTCTCTCTCTCTCTCTCTCTCTGTTGCTCTCTTTCTCTTCTTCCCACTCTCCCCTATAGGCCTGTGCCATTAAAGAGGCCTCCTTTGACCCGTCCTTCATACTTACTCATACAATCTGAAGCTGCAGCTCATATCCAATGTAAAAGACCTCATATCCAATGTGAAAGACAAATTTGCTAAGCCCTGAAAGTCCATTTGTTCTGCACTTAACCAGGTTGGAGGGAGAGCAAAGGGAAGAGAGTGTGTGTCACAGCAAAAGGGGGGGGGAAAAGTCAGGGAAGGGGATGATTGTGGAAAGGGGAAGAAGGAGAGTGGGAGGGGAGAGAGATGTAGGCGAAGAAAAAAGAAAAATGCCCCCTTTCAACTTCCCTACAGCTCAAATGAAATGCTAACAGTTGAGGGGAGCAATAGATCAAAATGTATGAAGCCAGAGTTGGTAAATTGTAGCCTTTGTGGCAGCTGTGCTATCCAGCATCCCAGCCCTGTGTGAACACAGAGCAAGGCCTTCTTATTTGGAATAATCAGTTCGCCGCCAAATCTGACGGAGGCCGCACAAACTGCTTCCGCACCTCATTTCAATATGAAAGTCCAAAATGTATTTTATATAATCTGCAGCTTTTCAAATGCTTGTATTTTTTATTCCCCCACCCCACAGAGAGGAGGTTAGAAATGCAATAAGGAGGACAGACACAGGGAAGGAGTGGGGGAAAAAAAGGTTCAAGGTTGCCTGGTGCATATCTTCAGTCAGTGCCCCCCTGTACATTTCAGCCTTGGAACTTCACAGCCAAGAAACTTTCCTTCTGCCTCTGCACTGTGGGAGAGGATGTAATGCTCACATATTGCTGTGTGTTCATCCCTCAACTGGCTGCCTGGCTGATTGATTGCTGACTTTCTAGTGGGATGACTATTTGACCAATGACACAATAAATGTTGCTTCTTTTTTTTAAAGTTTTTTTTTCTTTAACCATTCCTTTTTGTTGTCTGTTGTAAAGTTGGCGTTAGATAAGTAAATGTAGCCTACAAGTCCAACATCAGCTTTCTTGGAAATGTTTTTTTTTAAAAAACATTACCAAACCAGACCATCCATATTATCACATCACAATCTGGTGTGAGGCAGAAAAGTATCAAGCATCAAGTCAAATCATTTTCATTTTCACACTAAATAAAACCAAGTGCAAACTATGCTAAAATGCCACTCTTGTTTCACACTGCTTGAAACCTCAACACACCAGAGTCTGAAGGAGAAAATTACTTTCATTTCAAACCTGACACACAAGAAAAGCAGACAACACAGTGGGTAGATTAAGCGCTGTGCTATTTCAATTACCATTCCCAGGTGGAGCACTGACAAGGTTCTGTATCCCGTCCAGTGGCATTTGTTTCAGTAGCTGTTCCTACAGTGCAAACGAGCGGAGGCAGTAAAGCAGCCACCTGTTGTTACCTGATAGTGTCTGGACAAGCCCAGATGCTGTTTTACTGCGACATAAAGGAGCAGTGAATGGACCTAAATAGCTAACTAAGCACTTTATATGGGTGTATGTTCACAGGAAGAAAGACTGAAGCACAGTGTCTGTAAAGTTAGCACACTGTTGTACGAAGGGAAATTTAGGGATAATGCACCAAAGCGCGTCGAAAAGATCAAAAACAAAGCGAAACCGCGAGCAGAAAAGGTGAGGAATGTGTTATGTACACACCTAAAGAGAAAACTTTTGAAAAGGTTAAAAAGGTTGTACAATCTGTGAACATGTGTTTGTGCCTCAGGCAGTGAGAATATCTGAACAGGGGGAAGAGATGGGAGGGGAAGATGGAGTCATTTTGTTAGTCTGTTTGTGTTTCCGGTCTCTGAAGCAGTGTCAACCCCTCCTGAGGCAGTGTGTGTGCGAGTGTGTGTGTGTGTGTGTGTGTGTGTGTGTGTGTGTGAGTGCATCTCTGACACGAGACATAATTACCTTGTCATCTTTGTCAAAATCCTCATCCTCATCCTCCAGCAGGTCCTCCACTGCTTCCTGACAGTTGCAACAGAGCAAAGAGAAAAACGAGAAGGAGAAATAAAATGTTTATGCAACAGCTATAGTGCAGATAAACATTAGATAACAGAGGGTTAACATCATCAGAGCATCCAAAGAGGCATATTAAAGCTGATTGGTTCTGCTTATGTCTGGCAAGAGTTTGTTAATGAGTATGGAAGACATGCAGAAAGCACAACTATTGGATTTGTGAGTGCTAATATGTCATAAGCTTCAGAATGGTTCTCAATTAGAATTTAATTTTAGAAACATTCTGTTGTTCAAATATGTTGACACTTCTGGAAATGCAAGCAAATGCTCTGGCTTTGAATTTCCACGGGCTGAGGATTAAAGTCTATTCAAGCAGTCAAACGGCATTGCACAAAAGCATGTAAGACTTATACTGTTCAAAGGGAGAAGACAGCAGAACTCCTCTTCTTCTGACCTCCTTAACCTCTGCATGAGTCTCTCACCTCCACCACTGGTTTATATACATTCAGTTCTCTATGCTTTTTTTTCTTCTTCCTCGCAGACGCTTCGTAAGAGAAGAAAGAAGAAAAGCCTGAAGTGCAGAGACCGAGTCACAAAGAACAGCAACTATTTGCTTCAGTGATCCACAACCGAGAAAACTGGAGCCGACCTGACTCTGAAGCCCCGAGAAACCACAAGACATACTGTAGAACACAAAGAAAAATGGCATGATTTACGACGCTTGCTCACGCTCGGTCTAAATTCATGACAGCAAACATAAAGGGTACTGGACAAAATAAGTAGCGCACATTTTAAACAATTATTTAAGACACACTGGAATCACATAGAGACCTCTATGTGTGAAAGCAAGGCAATAATCACACGTGTATCCATAGAAGTTCATCCCTGAACACCTTGGTTCACACTTGGCTGTGTCTTGATACCACCAAAGTGAAAACCATTACAGCTGCATCTTATCCACCCTCTATCAATGACACATCACAGCTTATCATATGACAAATCATATAGTTGCCCACGATTTACATAAACAAACAGCCGTATCATAAGCCCTACAGCTGTCAACCTCGGATTTGATCTGCTCTCATTGTTTGATAGCGTTACCAGCCCCTACCCCCTCGAAAACCTTCACCCATCCCCGACATTACCGCACCCCCCCCCCAGCAAATCCAGAACAGTGCAAACTAGTTTGGAGAAATCCAAAAATCATTACTTAACAAGACAATAGCTTTTGTCCTTTTTGTTTTTCATTGGAATACGGGGGGAAACTATGTGGCGGCTGACATAAGCCTCTTATGTAAATGCAGCTTCCCACACAAACAAAGACGAGTTCAGTCAGAACAGCGGAGTCGAGAGGGTACTGCGTGTGCGTGCGTGCGCGTCCCTGTTCTATCAATATAAGTGAATCGCTAGGGCAAAGTGCTGTGCATGTATGTGTGAAACTCCTCATTTTAACTGTCTGACTGTGTAACAACTGGCCATTCCCAGCTCAATGAAACTCTGCCATGTCTAGACAAATAAGCTCGACTGTTCACATTTGACGGTCTCTTTATTGACACTGAGCACATCCAGCGCTGCACTATACAAATACCGAAGAGGGAATTCTCGTGCTCAGTCAAGGGAAAAGATGTAGATGAGATACTGTAAAAATGAAAGCCTTCTGGCATCTCTAAACAAATGAACTATAACTGTTTATAAAGACATCATGGTTCCCTCCAAATCCTTTCATCCATGCCAAAATAGAAATATAATGGAATCTTCCACACAGAGGCATTAGCAGGGCATGCCTGGCACATGCTCCAAACTTTAAACAAAGAAATGAGCATGAGCTAGGTGGAGAAGCATGACCTAGAGAGACAGAGAGAATGATAGAGTCGTTTGTCTCCCTCTGCTCTCCGCTCTGCTCTCTCCCTTCTATTGCCGCTGGTTACAGAGAGAAGTCATGTTTCCTGCAATGAGACACAGTGTAAAATTAATAAATAAAAAGACACGGAACATGTCATCTGCCCTGAAGATTGCCACGGCTAAATGCGTGCACTGAAGCTACTGTCTCAGTACGGGAGGATATAAATTACCTCAGTGCAGCCAATGAATTCCAAACATCCCTCTTTCGTTCTCTGCATCGCTCTACCTCTCCCTCTATTTGTCTCATTCTTTTCTCTTTCTAAGACCTGTTTGGTGTATGATATCATTTGTCTGCTTATCCCCCCCATTATCATGTTGTTTGAATTACTATCATTACAGCACGGCAGCATCAAAGCCTTGCTGTCGACAGGATCGCGCAGGGCTCACATTGCCTGCAGAGCTGCTCCAGTCAATTCAGTATCTACAGAGGTGGGGATTAACATATTCAGACCCATTCAAATGATACAGGGATGATGCAGGCTACTCTTACAGATTACATTGTGCCCCATAAATACATACATAGATGCGATAATATGAAATACACGCAAAGAATGCAAGCGAGCACAATGACATTGAGAGTTCGAATGGCTTTGGATGTGTGAATGCATCTGTTTGGTCTTTGCCTAAACGCGAAGAGCTAATTTGCAAGAATTAATTTGCTGCTGCATTCCCTTTCCAACACATGCTCTGCATGCTCGACGCGCTTTATCTGAATTATTTTTTGCCTCTTTTACTGTATTTTGCATCAAGGCAAAAATACCAGCTGCAAATTAAAACAGCTGTGAGTTAAAACCAACAGTGCATCGTCTACTTAATCCGAAAACAAGTACACTACTGCTGTTTATGTGGAGGTTTCAATTATGGGGATAAGTCATCTTTGAGGCCAAACCATATCACAAAAGTGGTGTATTATGTCCTTATTTTGGTGGCTAGAAAACTGTGGTGCCATCACTTTAACATAACTGGTAATTGATACATGATTGCTAAAAACATGGAACTTTAGCATCACAAGACCAAACTTTCGATTCTTGGTGCATATATGGTTGCCTGCGAAATGCACAGTTTAGGTGCCTGCACTTAAAAAAAAACAAAACAAGAAAGAGTTATTAGGAGCATTAAGATCTGCTCTTTCTTGCTGGAGGGGACTATTTCTATTAGCTGTGCAGGTAAATATCTAAAAGTTTTTCAAGAACAGTTATGAGAAGCTTCTTGCACAACATCAGCGGTGCAACAGCACCCCTAGTGTGTTTTCAAGGACAGAGAGCATATTCTCAGGGTCAGACGGATTATTACTGTGATCTTCTGCTTGCTGGATACACAGCTCTGTGGCATTATGCTGAATTTGATAGTAAATATGATCATAAGTTAAATCATAGGAGAAGATAAGACAATCATGAGTATGTTCACATAAAAGAAAAGGGCCAAATCAAGGATTTACCTAAGGTCACTGGAAAGACAGAAACATGGTAAATGTATACAAGACTAATCAGCTAAATATTTATATCGACTGAGGCACTGCACACAAAGTATTTCAAATATTACTTCACAAGTCAATGATCCACCATCCTCCTGGTTTTGCAGGAAAAAAAATTGACAGAACCTGTCTGAATCAATGAAACAAGCGCACACAAACACTCCATAGGGGAAAAGTAAAATTCTACTACTAAACTAGCAGCTACATCATTTTCACCTTTCCCCTGAAAACTGCCTCTCAACTCGGCCTTCTCTCTGCTGGCCGTACGGAGTTCCACTATTTCCTCTCCTCACCTTCCCAATGACAGCCGCGTGGGGAATTGACGGCGAGGCAGACATCGCCAGCGAACATGAAGATATACTTTTTCCGTCTTTTTTTCTCCCATTCCTCTATCCCTCCCTCCTTCCTCCTGCTGCTTTTCCTCTTTGATACGTGAGGGGGTTTTAACCTCTCCAGCTGCTGAGGTTTGGCTGAGTGGCTGGCTGGGGGATCTCAAGGCCCTGCTTGGTATGCACTGTCCATGAGTGCATGTGTATGTGTGCACATATTGCCTACACCACAGTTTCTGCAGACTGGGGGAAGAGCTTCGCGGCTGATAAGGCTGAGCCTGGCTGACCCACGCGGGCCCTTCACAAGCTGTCAGAGCCGTGGCCCTCAGAGGGGGGCCCTTCCATCTGCACTGCCCAAGCCAGGGCTCACCCAGCAGGGGGCTAGATAGGGGTGAGGCTGGGGTGCTACCGGAGCTGGTGGTGAGGGTGAGAAGGGCAGCTCCATATTCATGAAAGCAACACCAAATTTCGTGAACGCTGGAAGATACTGAGTTTTTGGGCTTGTTTTGTGACATTTCGAACTCACCAGCTACTTCTTCCTTTCCTATTTAGCTACTGACAAATCACCAAGTGTTCAGCCAGAGATTAAGCAGCTCCTCCAGCATTATTTGTCTTTCTCAGATCTAAAAAGTCTAGCTTTTCTCATTGTTCTTCATATTCAATTGTGCTAACGAGTTCTAGAGCAAGTAACATACTACATGTCTTGTATGGCAGAAACACATACATCTGTAGACTTAAGCTCAAGGTTTAAACCAAAAACACTAACAAAGAGCTATGGGCGGGTATGCTATAAAGACAAAATAACAACAACAACACCAACAGGCACTGAGACAGACACCCTGAACTGCTGGTGTTGTTAGCAAAGAGCACAGACAGTTACAAAGGTTCAGTGTGATGAAGGGAGTTAGACAAATGGAGTGGGATGGGAGAGGGGGGTGGCAATATGATGAAAAGGATGGGAGGATTTTGCAGTGGCATCCCTGTTGCTCCCGATGCTCCCGTCCCGCTTCAAACTATGCCCGCTGCCTGTCTTTCTGCCTGCCAGCCTGCCATCCTATCTGCCAGTTTAGCAGAGACAGAGAGGCAGCGAGAGCAGCAGAGATGAGCACGGCGATGCCGGGGCGGCACGGGGGAAATCAGCGGGGCACAGGCGCTCCCAGTTAAAAGTGACATGACCTTTTGATTTTGTCACCTGTCACCAACTGCCATGTCTGACTCCACACTGAGGAGTGCCTGCCATCCACCGCTGCTTTCCTCTGCCTCCATCTCTCTGAATGCCTCCCTGTCTTTTTCTGTCTCCTGCTCCCACTCCATCTCCTTTTCTCATTCCCCTTGTCTTTCCAGAGTTACAGTTTTATGAGCAAAAAATGGTGTGACTTCCTGGAGGAGTTGAGGTATAATAGGCAGCGCATTCTCTTTTCCTTCCAGCTTTTCCTAATATTTACTTCTACTCCACCTGCGTTGCGCGTGGCTCTTAATGAGGGCAGATGTCAAGGCACAGTGTTGCGAGCAAAGTTGTTTTGAGATGCAAAATCAAGGAGAAAATAGAACAGATAGAAATCGCAATGAAGACTCGCTCTAAAAATGATACAGTGTTCAAATAACATGTGACAATTCTGACTGGAAATAAACCAGATTTTATTTACACTAACAAACAATACGCTGCTGTCACACACAGCAGAGAAAAGTAAATATTAAACTAGTATTAGTAGATCCTTGTGACCTCAATAACTAAGCTCTGTGAGAATGATTCAAATCACCATGTGGCGAGAGCGGACTTATCATAGTCAGCTATCGTGCCACAGGAGGCGTATATGTAAGTGTGAAGTATCTTCAGGCCATTAAGGTCTTCTCTTCCGTAATGGTTTGGTGGATCCATTGGGTGAATCAATGTAATGGTCTGAAGCATGGGATAAAGAGGATGGTGCTCCAGTGTGACGAGGCCTAATTGCCCGTCATCCTGTGGTAGAAAGAGACATCACCGTGTTCCATATGTATCCTCTCCGACAGCCAGCACTGAAATTAACACCTTCAAAACATCTGGTAAGGGCTTTTCTGGGCCAAGAGAACAGCAAGGAAAGATTTCTTTTGGGATGTGTTCCTGCTTGTTAATCTCGGTGCCCATCATCTATTCATGCAAGCAGGCACACGCAAGAATACGACTCGCTGCTATGACATGCGTGCACATGTATCTAGCAGCCATCTCTCTCATCCAGCAGAGCAGCCGGTCCTCTGCTTGACCAAAGCCCAGTGTGAGGACAGATATAACCTCCAAATTGTCCCAGGTATCCAAACAAGCGTGAGATGGAGAGGTCATCTCATTGCGATGCAAACGGAGAAGCAGAAAAATAGCATGAGTCTTTCTTAATAATACATTTGAATGCACAAATAAAAGGAGCATCATCCTCATATATTCAGCAAATATTCAAAAACATAAAAGGGTCCTCTTGTTTGCTCAGAGAGCAAGGGAGCACGTTACACCATGACATACAGGTCAGCCAACGGTGCTGGAGAGTCAGCATTCACGGGTCAGAGTGCTACATGATAAGAAAGGAGGTCGGGGACCTTACTGGTGCTGTGCCTCCTTTAATCGCTGTTCTTAAGGACGCTCTGACTGCTTAGCAGGTACCGGTCAAGGTTGGGGCTAGGCTAAGAAGCAGCTGATCCGGGATCTGTTTGCAAAGCAGCATGTAACCGCACAACAGTCAGTGACCCTGAGTGGTGAAATACAGCATGTAAAGAACACTGTGTTTGTTTATTCGCTATAGACAGGGATACGGGTTGTGGTTGTGGTGTAAAAGCGTCGAAGGGTAAGCACGCTGAACCCGTCAGATGAAGCAAGGCCAGTTCATTAGGAAGTCTGTACTCAAGTGTGGGCTTTTTTTTCCTGTTTTCTCTCATTCTCTCTCACCATCTCTGTTTCTCTCTCTCAACCTTCAGAGTGAGTTCAGCAGAGATTCCTTTGGCATTACCCTCACCCCAGACTGCTGGAAAACCGCAGCGCTCCGGATGCTGACCCTTGCTCAGCTCAGCACAATGCTTTAATTTGGTGTGTTGTTTAAAGTAATTAGAAAGCCTTTCCCCCTGTTTTCTTTTCTATTCTTTTCAGTGTCTCTGCCAAGTGCAAGAGGGAAACAGTGAGTCGTCCATGACTTCAGCTTGATAAAGATTCGGAAGAGGAATCCACGAGACCCCCTCACCCTCCTCCTCACCCCCACCCCCTGCACCAGGGGAAAACTGTCTGAAAACAAACAGGGACAGGACTCGAGGGATACTTGTGTCTAAATGTGCGTATTCGAGTGTATGTGTGCGTTTGTCTACGTGTACAGCATTTCAGCAAAATAACAAACGCTTCTATCGTACCTTACTTTTGCTTTTAGTCTTATTTGAGACGAGATATTAATATCAGGAGTGGACGAGGCACAGAGCTGATAATGAAGAAAGGAGAGACGGTCCTGCGCGTGCACTAACCCGAAGGCAGTGAGACAGCAACAGAGACAAAAGCGGGGCAGTGATCGCCAGAGAATTTTCTTTGTGTCACCTGTGCACAGCTGCCACAGCAGCAAGAAAGAGGCATTAATAGAGCCAATCTTTGACAATTTCAACTTTCATCAGATGCATCACTGCAAAGACTCACTCGCACAGCAGATTCAAACACACACAGACGACTTTTATCTGTATCTGCACACACAGATTAACGTTCTACACTTGTGTTTGTACCATGCAAACACACACCTGGAATGAATTGTGTAGATGTATATGAGTGTACACTGCAGTCCTTCATATTTATTTGTTATAACCTAGGAATAAAGAGAATATACTAATTGACATCAGACATACACACACAATATTTAGTATCCATGCATTACGGATGCACCTGCATACAAACCTAGAGCACATTTACCTTAGTGCTATCCCACGATCTTATAGTGCGCCTCTAACTATCTCACCACCAGCCTCCTCAAAAACTCCTTAAGCCAGTGCCATCATCGACACTCCTACCCACACATATCAAGACTGTCAAACTGTAAGAGTTACACTACACACTCAGTTAAAGCTATTGCCAAATGCTGCTCATATTAGACAGTAAAGACATTTAACTGAAGAAGGTCAGATACCAAAGTTAAAGGCGGTGCTCTCGTGTCTTAAAACACCCCGTTCTTGATGATCCTGCTGATCCTTTGAATTCAACCAAACACTCTCCAGTCTGAATGACAGTCTGAACGACACTCTGAAGACAGCGATATTAAAGCAAGCTTCAGAGGCAAAACCACTCCCTGGTCTGGTCTAACCCTTGGCATATAAATCCAGTAGAGTAGTTACATGACAAGCCTCAAGACATTAAACTCAAATGAAAATGGTTCTTAGTTGGTGGGAAATATTTTAAGGCGCCCTGCTTTCATCCCAACAAGCCCAGCTGAAGTCAGTCAAATTATGTGGTTTGCATTTATGCTGTAAATACAGAAGATCACGATCAAGTGTGGAAATGCTACTTTGAAAATGAAGCAGATAGATCCTAAATTGTATCTGCTGGACAGGTTTCTTGACCAGGTAAATCTCCAAAAGGAGATTTTTGGATAGGATATAATAACAATAATAATAAAATAGTAAGACAGCACCAGATGTTAAAACACTGAGTTTTAACATCTGACAGTTTTTGTCTTTGCGCGTAAGACCTTTAAGTAGAACTGGGCAGACCATTGTTGTCATACTTAAAGGCGCTTGCCATATGAGAATCAACAGTATGAACATGTCTTAAGGTTTCAACCAAGTCCTGAGGTACTTGAGACACAATAGTCCCTTTCAAGAGAGAAAAGCAATTCCACATGAAGTGGGAGTTACATGCACTTATTGGAATGTGAATTGAGTGCCACATTACGGGGATATGCAACCATTGTTGCCTCATTTTACTTAGGAAGTACACAGAAAAAAATATCATTAGGTCTGGATAAATACAAGCAGCAGGTAGAGAGACACATAATCATGCCAGGTTTTGTCTTAAGGCATGTGTGGCTATTCTTTTTTTTTTTTTGCAAGCAATGTCGCCATCTACAGGTGAGAAAAGTGTCTCTAAAATTAAAGTCTGTGTTCTTTGCAAATGATTTATGTTGTCTGTGAACTTACCTACAATAGTAAACCTTTAATTCTTCACTTGAGCGCATGCAGTGAAAATATGATTTTTAAACATGAACCAAAAACTGGAGTATAACTGCCAGTTTATTGTCAAGAAACACAAGGATCATTTTGCTAATTTCAATGCCATGTTTTTAAATGAACAAATATGGAAATGGAAGCTTATGAATAGAGAAGATTAGCTCTTGAGACGAAACAATAAATCTGCGCTATATGCTATGTAGAGTTCACATTTAATTCTGTAATATTGCAATGACACACAGCTATTAGATTTGGTTCATTATGATGACTGAATTTAATACCTCTTCCAAATCCAATCCAATCTAACCCATAGAATCCCTATGAAGAGATAAATATACACATATAGAAGGCAAAAGACTGCAAGGAAATCGGAAGTCTGTTAACTGGTTATTTCCAAGTGAGAAAAAGGCACTTATTAAAATTAATCACTTCATTGTTCACGCTCATGCCATAGTCCAGCTCGCTCTCTCGTTTTCACTCTCTACTCTCCAAATGTGCCTGGCCATGATTAAAACATGTCTGTTTCTCCATGACATTGCTTTGACATCACTTAATTGGTATAAGAGATAAAAAATAAATGAATTAAATAAATATACTACCAGGTAAGTGGCGTAACATTGCTCAAGGTGACAGCCTATTATTTCTCCCTTTTCTTTGCCTCAAAGAAGGCAAAGTGAGAAATGTGAGATTGCACTGAGAATGCAGCACCTCATGTGGCAGACGGAGATTTTTATTAAGAAAAAGAAAAAAAAAAATATCGGCAGAGAGTTTTCACATGTGAAATTCAAAATCTGTTCAAAGTTTGCGGCGTGCAGTTCAATCTGAGAGTATATTCTACATTTCTACAGGAAACGGCAACCCTCTGTTCCTCACTTATCTGTACATCAATGCTCATCAGCAGTCAAAATGTTACGTCCCAAATATCTAATGTTTTTAATATGTCTGGAAATGTATCATCGCATGATTAATGCAGTAAATCAATGTCCCAACAAAACAGCTGTGGTTGAATTTAACCTGCATTGTATGTGGAAATGGGCTTTTACAGTGAAAGGAAAGAAAGGCGGAGGGATATCAAGAAGCGATGGGGTTACTCACCACATCTTGCCTGGTGTCCTTCCCCGACGCAATGAGCATGTAGGTCCAGGCCAAGGGCAGAAGCAACGCCAGAGGAATCATGTAGAGCTCAAAGTTCCAAACGACAACGACAAAAAGCTGTTGAAAGACACAACGTGAAAACTGCTCGTGAAAGAAAAGCAAAAAGAAATCCGAGAGATCAACGCGGGCTAAAAATGTATATATTCAAGACGCCATACGGGCGTTCATGAGACAAACTCCTGAGAATCTAAGCTGGCCACATGTGCCATATGTGTGACTCAAAAAACAACACACATTCATATGCAGAATCATAAACTCCATGCAGTAAAAACTATTAAATGAGTCTTTGCTTTAACAAAGAAGTAGGCCTGGTGTCAGTGAGCTGAGGGTGAAGCCGCCATGACCCCTTAAGGGTTCATTTTTCTGGGTCTCAAAGTTGAGGAGGAGGAGGATGGTGAGGAGGATAAGTATGAGCCGTCAGAGCCTCTATCGTTCATGCCAATCATCTCAGAGTCTGAGGTCATGTACCGTTTCAGCCGCAGCACGTCAAAGCTGACCCTTCTATACTCAACCCCAAACTCCAGCAGATGACCCCCGCACACCCCACAACCCAAGTCCCTAACCCTGTCACTCCAAGACCCAATACCCTCTCTCTTGGCCCAAAAGAGTCGTTCGCCCCATCTCTAACCTCCTCTGCACCCATCTGCCAAAACCATAACCTCTATACCTCCCCTCTCATCACCAAACAAGAAAAGTACCATCTGAAAATTAACCTTTCCTAAAACCTTGTATTCTGGTTTTGGCAGGACTCTTTAGCCTCTGACAACAGATTACTGCGGTGGTTGGGAAGATACGTGTGGGAAAGTAAAATTGCTAATCATGGAAGGCTGATGTTTTCTGGCAGCATTGTGTAGATTGTGAGAAAGCATTGTCGATTGTAAATGAAAGGTTGAGACGGGGCGTTTTTCAGGAAACAAAATCTGTCAGAAATAAATAGAGCGAAAGCATATTTATCTTATCGAATAATATCATGTTCAAGTATACAGAGATTTGTCGCGACTGATAATAAAAAAAACTGCAGCAATTATAACAAATGCCGAAAATGCAAACCATGCCTAATGCTTAATCTTTCGCTGTGAAACATATTCACTGAATTCAAGTACGAGTAATCCATTATTTCAAATATGGGCACAGCAGATTTGAAATTAATTAGTCTGTGTATGGAAAGACAACCTTATTTAACAATCAGTGTTGATGACAAACTTTTAAAAGTGATGAAATTGAGATTATTACTGTATAAAACTCATATAATGTCTGTCTACCAATTCTGATTTATCCTGCTTGGTTGTGCAAACACCGGCAAGAGTGAGCGCAGGCTCAATTATCAACAACGACACTGCTTAATATCTGCCTTTGTATGTGTGTAATACAGGGTTAATGTGAGTGAGAGGTTCAAGATCTCAGCACCATAGTGCATTCCAGGCTGTTGTTATTGTAGTAAAGCCAGTCAAACATTAAAAAACACAGACACACTCGACTGCTACGTCACAACGGACAAAACACATGCCCCTCTCAATAAAACCATGTTTACAAATTAAATTTTTATCCTCAACTTTTCCAACTTCATGGAAAAGTTCGAAAGGCTCGTATCCAAACTTTAGAGCGGAATTATAACTCCATGTAAAATTAACTAACAGACGCTGAATCCACAAAGCAAAAAAAAGGAAGAAAAAAAATATAAGACATAAATTAAACATTAGAAATGTCCAGTACATTTGCATAATGCTCACAGCAAAATTTCTTCTTCAAATAAAACCTGAATGGCCTTGGTGAAACAGGCAAATCTCCCCAAAGGATCGCAGTCTTTCTCCGTCTCTCTCAGGCTCAACTTACTTTGTTACATACGCAGAGTCTCTCTCTGATACAGCTGTGTAGGAGAACTGGAAAGAACATCTTTAATAATTCATATTTGTATACTAATAAGCAACACAACAATTTCCCTTCACTCATCAGAAAACGCTGTTAGGATCATGAAAAAGCTCGACAGCAGAAACTTGCGTACAGACAAACACAATAACACCATTGCGCACGTTTTCCCTACAAAATATAACTATTCTAAAATTATCCATCTGCTCCAAATTACTGTAATTTAGAAATCTGTATGATCTGCAACGGAGATAAACACTCCGACAATTTCTAACTACAAAAATGTGCAACAGAGGTGCAGAAAGTTGACTTCAATTGAGCAAACAGAGGAGCACATTTCTTTGAAACTATTCTAGTAGAAGCTATTAATAACTGCATACTTATAAACGTCTTCACACGCTCTGTTCTATACTCTACTATAAATACCACTTACAGTAGGAATACAGAACAATGCATTTTAAAAAATCTTTGCTGTGTGGTAGTCTTTTCACTCACATTTTCATCACAGAGCAGAAAATTAACTTGTATTTTACTGTCCGAATGTTTGTTCTTAAACATTGAAATCTTCTTTTTCAAAAAAAATAAATAAATTCCTGCTCTTTTCTCTATTTGTCAGAGGCTATTTAACCTGTCATCTGCCTTTATTCCTCTTCCAGGTGGTTAAGGTGGCTGAGGGTGAAGTTTTGACTGGCAGCTAGAGAAACCGGACACCCCGGCTCAGCAGCGGCCGGCCCTGCACAGTCTATGTGCCCACCGGCCGGGCAGCAATGGGGCCCTACAGTGCCTGGACCTTTCCACCGGGCGATCACAGTCACCCCCCGTCGCTCGCTGCTTTTCGCCTGGAGAATAGGGAGTGGGAAGAAGCCTGCTGTGGATGTCAGTGACCAGAAAATAGCAGAGGAGGGAAAAGAAAAAAAAAAAGGGAAAAAAAGGACGAAAACATGTTGGATCGAAAGGGGGAAAAAGCTAGATGAAGCTCCAGATGTGGTCTACGGGAATAATTTGTAAATGACCCTTTCTGGCCACAGATACATTATGTAGCGGCCGGTGATGGTTCACAGTGAATATCTGAACACTACACACGAGGAATGCTCATCCCGTTCTTGCTTTGTTTATTAATGCTGCATTCATGGTAATGTAATTTTTCTTAAAATATAAGAACACAGTCTTTCTTTGCTTATGTTTTTCTGTATTATTCATATTATGAACGCTCTCTGATTTAGTTTAGCGAGTATGTAAATAAATACATTACATCTATTTGTTATAAAAAGTGACTTGGACCCTGTTTTTACTTCTCCTGTAACAAATATTTTCTGTAATTATCAAACCTTTTGATAATTACATCTTTTTTTTTTCTTATGTGATGGATATTTGATTGTGCCACCAAAACTACTGTCGGCAGTGACAACTTGAAAACAATTCAAAATTAAGAATTTACTTTTAGACGACAAATCCGTTTAGTCAAAACAAAAGTCCGTCTCTTCTTCTAATCATTATTTGTGCTTCAGTGATCTTCAGTGAAATGCGATAAATTTCCAGGAACAAAACTATTCACCTGTCACAAAACAAAGTGAAATCAGGACTTCCACTGTCAAATCTGCTAAACCAGCTTAGATATAGTTAAAGGCTAAATTTGAAATGGGCTAACTTCACGTCTGAGTATGGGCTGATACTGAAATGAGATGCGTAATTAAAAAAGACAATTACAAAACTAACAAAGCAAAAATCACGCCAGTATTATTTGTAACATTTTGGCTAAAATGAAAATAAAACACTAAACAGAACTTAAATTATTTTGACACATCTGTGTAGTTAAGATTTCATTCCAGCTGTAATGTTTAAAGCTTTCTATTAATATTAAAATATTCAAGCACGATAAGCTATATTAAAAATGTTAACAAAAGAGATAGTCAAAATGATTTATTCAAGCACTTAGTGCGGCACATTGAGAGTTGCTTTATTTGTTTCAAAACACAACCCGCGTCCTTGCGGCTCTTTGCCGCAGCACTGTGGGAGGGTAATATTCAGTGCTTTGGCTTACATTAACCACACACCAGGCTAACTTCCCCCTGCTCTGTCTCAGTGGAGTGAAACTGAAGTTTGGATTTCAGAGTTCCCCTTTATCTCTCTTACATCAATTTCCATGCTGGCACTAAGTGTTGCCAGATAGCAACTAGAAGTCCTGTTAAGTTCGAGGGAACAAGAGGGAGGGAGACTGTGTCCTGTTTCTGACCAGACCCACAACAACATTCGGTGGTGCTAGACTGCCCCCTGCTGTTCTCATGCAGAACATTGATCCACAGCACAATTAATGCTGTTCAATCGAAATAAAAAAGGAAGCTCAAAATCACTAAAACTGTTGTGTCAAAGGCAGTCATTTTGCAACATCACAGTTACAACAATACAATAAAGCCTGTGCTATTTGTGATCACAATGCTACAACTTCCCACGGGTACCAATTAGAAATAAGGGTGCTGTATCGCGACTTCGTATCAAAAGGCCTCACATTTTCTGTTGAGTCTCCATCTCTGGTGATTAAACTCTGACTTGGTATTCTCTGTTAGTCGTGCCACTACATTTCAACTATCATTCATTTTGGAAATGAGGAGAACAGTGAAACGTGAAAGCATATCTTTCAAAGCTGTCCCTTGCTGTGGGCAAAGACGAACTCCCTAACTTTAAAACTTTTAAAAGTTAGACAGGTTCTTTGAAGGGGAGTCAAAGGAGCAATTTAAAGAGACCTGGAGTGGTGTGTACTGCTGACTACTATAGTGTCTTCGCACTGTGTATCAAACCACCAGCCAGACATGTGCAAACACACACACATATACACTCCAATAGTTGCTTCTGTACCTGCCTTTGCTTCCCCCCCTTTTTTATTTCAGCAGGGTGAATTTTTATCTAAATGCAAAGCAGGTGATAGGTGCTCCAGTTTCCTCTAGAAGTAGCTCCCTTGTCTGGGCTCTCTTCCTGATAAGAGTCCTACTTTGCCTGACATAAAAGAGCCCGGTATCATTTCCCCTGCCTCCCCAACAACCCCCAGCTCGCTGCCCTCGCCCTTCCCCGAGCTTCACAAAGCTGCCTCTATTTGCTCCCAATTCAGGGCCCAATTGCAGATAAAGTTACAGCAAATTTGTTTGGAGGAAGAGCTGCTGAGGCCTGCGGTCCCTGGGGCAATAACAGCCTTGTCTTGCAGGGGCCGTGGGGAGAGCTGGCAGCAGCAGGAGAACAGAACCCTACACCGCTCAGCCCGACAATGGCCTCAACTCTCCGGGAGGGAAAAGCCGAGGGGAGGGAGAGATAAAGAAGAACAGGGATGCATGGAAGGATAGAACGGAGAGACACTCAGCTTGCAGGTGTGGAGAGAGGAAGCAGACGCTTAACCCTGAGACGGGGAATGGAGACACCACCCACAGACACACACACACACGCACACACAAATACACAGACACCACCCATCATGCAGGACAGGAGGTAACTCCAGTCCCGTCCATTGTGCCAACGCCTCAGGCAAAGCTGCCACGGTGGCTGATTCACTGTCGGGATGGGTGGGTGACAACAGTGTGGGTGTGAGAGAGAAAAGAGTGAAAAGCTGCATGTGACACTATGCAATATCTCTATTTCTCACACATACACACTAGACACACGATACACATGCACACACTAAACACAGCTGGCACTAATGGATGATGTGTACATGCGGCTGGTATTTCAGAATTGGGCAGAAGGAGAGTAAGAGACCATGAAGAAAATTTTGATCGTTTTTGTGGAAGAAGTGTCGAGCAGTGACACAGTCTGACAACTGCAATGATGTACTCTTGCGTTCACAAAATATATACGAGCACGCTTAAATTTGCTCCCCCCCGGGCTCACTTAGCAGTTAAGGAGTGCGCACGTTGGTAAGTTTCTCACCTCTCTAGCTATGGCCATGTTTGGAAAGTTAAGTCTAACATCTGGATTTAAAAAAAAAAAGACAGCCAGACAGAAACACACGTGCACATGTATGCAGACACACATGCCCATAATCACACACAGCAGTACACCTTCATGAATGCACCACCTTGGCCAGATGGCCCCCCATAAAAACCCACTTAAAGAGATGAGTGAAGTGATTAAGAGGCCCCTCAAAGTAAGGGAGAAATGAGACAGGGATGAAGAAATGGAGGGGAGGGAGGGAATACCTGTGTAGAGGAGAGGCCCTAAATACTCTGATGCTTTTAGCTAAGTGCTCACTCCTACGTTAACAGACTCCCAAAAGAGCCGGGGATAGGTGGGTGGACTACAATGACACCTAAATTTCTGAATTTCTCTAAACTATAAAACACTGTGTCCTTGGCCCAGATAGATCGTTCCTCGTCTCCTGAATCCAATCAGAATTTGAATAGTAGGAACTGTTAGAAATGGATATACTACACACTGTGTTAAAAAATAAACTTGGGAGGATCTATACAAGGCACATACATCTGTTTGGATGTGCTGACACAGAGGCTGTGCTGTCCAAGGCTATATTTTCTCCTCTCCCCATGTAGATTGGTATTTCTAAAGTGACCTTGTTTTGGGTGAATTCCTTGACATTTTATTTGTCTGACACATTCATTTATTTATAAAAAGATAAGACCCAAGGACTCCCGCCTAGCTCAGTCTTACATGAGAGAAAATACATGCACAAGCCAGCTCTTGCACACAAATGTGCTCACTCACACAAAGAGGAAAATGTTAACTGATCAATACCGTGTCTCTTCTGACCCGTGTCTTGTGATGACACTGTGACCCGCTGTGCAAACACACACACACACGCGCGCGCGCACGTAAACCCTCTGGAGAGATTAAACTGATGTCATCCAGCCAAATGCTTCTAATGTCTAATGTCTGCTGCTGAAGATGCTCTGTGATCCAATGGTAAAGGGCTGGGGCAAGTTGGGTCCACCTGTCCTGTAGCTACTTAAGTCAGGACACTAAACCAGACAGGATTAAATGTCTGCTCTGTCATATTTGGGGTAGAAACCACCATGCAGCCGCTCGCTGCCCTGCAGGAGAATGTCGTTTTACTGATAGCTCTGCTGTCCAATTACACTTCACCTTTTAATACCAGACACAGATGACAGGGGGGGAGAGAGAGAGGATGAAGACGAGGCCAGTGGGCGACGAGAGAAGGAGCCTGCAATTTCTACTGTCTGCAAGAACAGCTTGTCACCCTTCAGTAGATTGTAGCTGCATTTTCTCAGTATTTGGACATCTGATGGGTCTAATAAAATAGTGTTTAAGCTGCAACACCAACCCTCCACTTACTCCTAGTAAGTGAGACTCAAGGCCAATAGTGCCAAATAAAGTATACGACATGTGTGTGTATGTGTGCAATTAATACAAGAACAGAAAAAAAACTTAATCCAGTGTATCACAGCGTGACATCTAAGAGTGAGAGTAACAGTCTGCCTGGGATGCGCTTGACTGTGCTTGAGACATCAATAGTCTCTTGCGTTAGACTGTTAAATTATGAGTGAAGGATGCTTGCTTTGTTAACAGACACGGTCCTGCATTCTCGGTGAGCGGTGTGTGCACGTCTCTATCGCACACACAAAGTGCAACCAGTTAAATATATGGTTACATTTAGAATGATCAATAGGCACAGGTTATGTGATTTTTCCAGTGCCAAAAGAAAGGAGCAATTACATTTAGGTACAAATTTCTCCCTACATTACATCTGAAACAACACAGCACGATCCATCAATCAAGCAACTGCACGTAAGAAATAAACATATATTACACACACACACACGCGCACACACACAAATCTACCTGTCATGTTGTAAATGTGCAGCTTTATGTGTGGTATGCCACATTTACTGTGTATTTGATGGGACATGCACATACCACAAAGGCACAGATGCTCCTCTGCGGAGAGTCCCATTCGAAGCAGCTGTTTATGTAGCAGCCCGCGTTGATCAGGACCATGATGCAGCGTCTAACTCGGGTGAAGTTGCGCAAAAGCAACTGGGCGAAAAACAAAAAGGGAAACAACAAAAAGTAAAACGTTTATGCAAGCGAGGGTTTAAAGGTCAAAAATGTGCTAAACCGAGGAACGGATCATGGGGTTGTAAACATGCTGTGCGTGATTTATTGCTTCACTGTGAAAATGGTATATCCGGTATGTAAACAACCAGATGGGGGAACGAGGCTCGGTGTGACAGGTAGATGTGTTGGAAATAAAACGGGAGCAAAACGATCCATCTAAGCACAGCTGTCAGAGTCCCGCTGATAAGACACTTGAGGTGACCTACTGTTATAGGGGGTCACTTTTCTCTCTCGTTCACATTTAGTTAAGGTGAGAAATTACCACCATTTAGCAAAAAACACCAAAGTTTTTTCAAGTTATGTTAATCAGCACCATAGCTGATTAACAACATACTCTTATTAAGTCTTAATAAGCGATCTTCTAGCCCTAAAGTGTCTCATTGTACTGTCTTTGTAAAAATTAAATGAAGCCGTCATAATACAGCTCGACAGTTGCATCTTTGACCTCACTTTGGATTCACTATTACATCACAGTACTTAAAAGCACCCTGAGGATGCCGATGTGATGTCTCTACTTAAACAGCGATATACGTTTTGGCATGGATCGGCCACCACTGCTAACTCACAGTGTTTGTTTAACTCTCTTATCCTAGTGATAAAGTTTAGCACAATAATAAAATAGAAAGAAAATCCAAAGCAGTCCCTGGATTCTCCTCCCTGGGCGTTTCTCCAGGCATTTGGCCAGAGATGAGCTAGAACTGGCTAACTGCGGTCTCCCCCTGGGTTGCCAGCCATTCAGGGAATAGCATAACAGCAAGAACGCCAACCACCCAATCAGGTCACCAACAGGGGAAAGTGCTCCCACAGGAAAAAAACTGTCGCTTCAGTTTGCACTTAAAAATATTCCAGGGCATTCTTTTACTCCTTGGGAAATTGTGTGTGTTTTAATGTGTGTGTAAAGTGCCTATATAATATGTGTCTGCAGCACTAGAATAAGGATTTTCATGTGTTCAGTGGCTTCAATTTATTGATGCTAGCTGATTTGAACTCGTTTCCACTCTGTGTCAATATTTGTTGCCAAACTACGGTTATGATTACTTTATGTCCACATCAGAGGATCACATTCAGAGTTCAAATCATCCATTTGCACATTCTTCAGCATGTTTACTTCATGTACATGTTATACTTTTCTTTGCTATAACACCAGACAGAGATTATTCATTTTTTATTATGTCAATCCCAGTCTGTAGTTATTTTTTTCGATCACTTATGAAAGTGGATAAGTTATTGGTTATGTTAAAAACCATAATTAGAATTAAATCTTGTCTTTGATGTCAGGCAGTGTGTGTGTGTGTGTGTGTGTATTTTATGTTATTTTTAGTTCGTGTCTACTCATTGAGCAGCAAGCAACAGCAGGGGAGCTGCTATCACACAAAAGAGTCCTCATGGGGCAATCCCTCCAAAGCAGCGAGTGACATCATCATTGCGAGACGCTGACATGGGTCATCTCTGTGTGTCAGGGGTGAAATGGAGATAAAAAAGCTCAGAGTGGGCCAAGATGGGAATCATCAGAAAAAGCAAAGGCAGAAACAGTGAGGAAAAGAAGGGAATAGATGGAGGGCTGACAAAAGGGTGGTGTGGGAGCTGGTGTCTGTGTTGTGCTATGTTAGGCAGGGCTGTGCTCGGCTGTGCGTGGTGCAACACTGACTGCTGAGCCCAAACGGTCACTCATATGACACGTCTGATGCGGGCCAGCCCCTACTATTCATCTCTTTGTGGTGCCGCCACACTGAGCAGCGTGACAATGAAGTGCAAAGCAGCAGTGGCAAAGAGGGCCAACTATAAGGATGGCCAATCTACTTATGCACCCCAGAGCTGACAGCTTGACATTTCTATTCACCACTCAGAGTGGATGCGAGGGGGTAGAGATGAGAGAAGAGGGAGAGGAGGAAAGGGAGGAGAAAAAAAGAGAAACAAAATGCTGTTTTTCCTTCAATCATCCTGTTGTATCTTGCCCACACAGTTGTTGTGCTTTACAAGATGCCACTCACCAGGGCTGTTGGTTTTGCTTCAGACAGTTAAGCAGAATAGGGGGTGCGGCGGTGGACACAGATAAAAATAAGGCGGATTGGTAGAAGACACAGTTTGGCTCATGATGTACCTGCTTGGACACTCGAGGCTCCTCCTCGATATACTTTTGCTCAATAGGAATCAGCGTCCTGAGACCAGCCTTCACCTGGAATAAACACAAGCGGCGGCGTGAACCGCAAATGGTGAGAGAGAGATTAGTATATCTTGATTGTTTCAGATCTTTTTTTAAACAGACTGTGTACTGGCACAACATGGCAGCACAAGCATAGAGCGTGCCCCATGTCAGAGGCTAGACAGAGTGCGAGAGAAAGCTGCAAGATGGCCGCTAAAGGGACACACACAGCGATGGTGAATGGGCGAACAAAAGCTGCTGAGAGGGAGTCTTCGATAATTAAAGCCAAAACGAGGATGAGGGACAAGGGACGAGGGATGAGACGGGAAGCGAGGGAAGGGGGGTGGCAAAGAGAATAAAGACAACAGCAGCGTAGAAGAGGGGGATGATGCTGGGGAGAACAAGAGAGGATAATAGGGGGTGGGGGGCAAAATAGAAAAAGAAAATCGGGGAGGAGGCTCAAAAAAGCAAAAGAAAGACTTACAGCATTAAAAATCACGTCTATTTCGAGGAAGATGACCCCTTTTGTTGGCCCTGTCAGCTCCTTGCTTTTCAAGGCGTAGGCTTTGCGTTCTCCATTTTGGATCTGTGGGAGAGGGACATGACAGGCGTCTGTCTGGCAATACCCGGCTGAATCGGCTCCCCGGGCCACCTTTGAACCCCAGCTGCTGGCGCTGACAGGGAACCCAAAACAACTGTGGCAACTCTGACAAGTACCTGTTCATTACCCACTGCAGCTCAGCTCTGTCAAACAGAAATTAACTATCCTGGGGAATCGTACTGTACAGCAGAGCACGGGTATATTATACACACAGTTCCTTCACAGGCTTTATTTTTATGAATATAAGACAGATGCTTATGTCTATATATACATTTATTTTTCAAATGACACTGTTCAGCGTCTCCATCAGTGTCATTTTCATATCGTCTCTCATCCCCTAACTTCCATTCTTCACATCTATCAATCTCTTCTTTCGTCTCAGCCTCTCTTCCATTTCGTCTCAGCCTCTCTTCCATTTTTTCTCGCTCCTGTCATCTCTTTCTCTTTCGTGAAATAATAACAGTGTCATAAGTAAAAGCTGCAAAAAATAACCTCTGCTCTTTATATCTCATTTTCATTTTTAGTTTTTGTTTCCCAAGGGAGGCGGAAAAATAAAGAAACACAGAAACAAGCCTTTGACTCACATTTAGTAAAGGAATAGCCACTTTTCCCAGGAAGTCTGCACTTCTGTCTCTGTCCTCATCGTAAACGGTGACCTCAAGTACTGAGTGGATGTCCTTCACATTACTGGACAATACACAAAGACAAACACCAGTGGTACACATACTGAAGGAGCATCACAAATAGGCTTTTGAAAATACTAAATACAGAGAAAACAGGCTAAAAACTGTATAATAAAACACAAGATATTGCAAATGCTTCACATTTCCTCATTACTTGTCAAAAAAAATATAAACAGACTTAAATAAAATAATAACTATAAATAGATTTCCTGGTAAAATTCATGAAAATATAAATCTAAACATAGAAGTGAGACGATCAGATCTTTTCACTGCTCAAAATGGTCCAGGACATATTTTTAAAGTAGCAAATGAGCTGATGAAAGTCACAAGAAAAACTGAATAATTTCTATATACTTTTTTCTTTTTTAATGAAACAGTTTACTCAAGGATACGTGTCACTTTTTTTGCCTGCATGCATGAACGTGCAGACATACGGGCACTCTTAAAGTCACTCACAAAGTGAAGACCTTGTTCCACTCTGGGTTCAGGTTTTTGTAGACGGTGTGCGTCTGCAGCCGATCGTTACTCAGCTCCACTACACAGAATGGGTCGCTCTTACCTGGCAAGCAAAAAGAAATAAAAATAAAATTTAATAAAACGAGAACAAAAAGAAGGAAAGAACATCTTTCTTAGTGAAAAGATAAAATTAAATTGAGAATCTTAAGTAATTCCAACAGCTTTGTTTATCTCAAATACCTCATACTGTTAAGACATATACTGTAGCATCCTTCCCTTATGTCACATGACAGTTCCAATACCCTGTACTTATCAGAGCTGTAATGAAATGATTCTTTCATTTTTAGCCCCAATATTATACAACAGTATATCAGTGTAAAAGCTGTAAGTCATTTCTATCAGCATCCCGACTCCATGGACAACTAGAAGATAAGCTTCAGGACGACTGCGCCTTGGGCAGTGGCGAGGAAAGGGTGAGAGAGAAAAGCCAGAGAAGACTTTGAAAATGGGTGGTGCGGAGAACACAGAGGTCGAGGTGCTCTGAAGGCCCGAGAATTTGTGAGCTGAACATAAAGGCAGCCAGTCACGGAGCGTGAGAAACGCAGCTCCTCCGAAGACAGCAGTGAGGGGAGCAGCGGCACGATGGCACGAGCACATAATGTCAAAACTATATGATGAATGAACAACAGAGAAAACATTTCTGCATTTTTTACATGGAGAGATGAATAAAAGCACTTTTAAAAAGATTTTTTTAAATGATTAAAAACCGAAATTGATTAAGTTCGAGGACTAGTTTTCAAGTAATATTTTATGGTAATTAAAAGTAAAAACATACATCCAAATTTGGATTTATTATAAGAACTGAATCACGCTGAAAATTAAGGATCACAAATGAAGGAGTGCTGCTAAACTAAAACTTAAACAGACTTATCATTGTTATATGGTTTAGTATAAAGAATATTCATAAATGCTAATTAATTCCAAGAAAACTTTACTACAGTTATGTAACTGCGTAGAGAGAAAGTGAGAGAGACAGAGAAGGAGCTGCTTCCTCCTCCTGAGAATAGCACACTGTGCTATCATAATCAAAACCAGTAATGTCCTATATATTCCCGATTTGTTTACTAACATCTCAGACTTCAAATTCTTTGTACACAGAAAACAGCGAGACCGGCTCCCTATGTTTGCCAGCCCACCTACCTTCAGTGAACTAAAAAAACAACAAAACTCTTAATTTTGACTTTGATCATTATGTTTTATTAAAAACTGTCGGGAGCCGCTGCGAATGTTTTTTTCAAACCTATCACTTGAAAAGGCTGGGTCATTAAGTAAAAAGACGAGAAAAAAAAAATCTCCCTGGCAAATTTCCAGGGAAAGTATTGGGAATACTGAACGCTGAAAAGCAGCATTGTTGCATAATAAAACTCGATAAAAAAGAGATTGAGTTCAAAGCCCCTGAAAAGTGTGTGCCCGCCTGTGTTTGTAGGCCATAGGAAATGAGTGTGTGTATCTGTGTGTGTGTGTGTGTGTGAGCGCCATCGATTAGTGTGATTTTCTCCAAATGTTGTGACAAGGGCAGGACATTTAGTGGGTGTGCAAAGTAAATGTCACTGTGATCAATGCTGAGGCAGAGGCGTTGCCTTTCATATCTGTTTGTGGCGCTCCATTGATGTAGAGTGTTTCAAGTGGATATTGACAGCTACGACTTCTACAGAAAACAAGATACGTTAAAATAGACAAAAGAAAAAAGGCTCGGGCACCTGCTTCTCAGTGCCTCTCTGTTTACACCTCGCCGTCTCTCTTTAAATGCAATTGTTCTTTAAACCACAATTAAATACGGTTGAAATGATTAAACCAGTGAAAAACTTCTTTTTTCGCAGAAAATCTTTCTTAATAATCCCAGAGTGTCCATATCATTCACAATTATAATGTCATTGCCACAGACCAAATCTGATTAAATCTAGACGCAATCACCCAAATTAGGAGATGGAAATTATTTCTGCAGAAGTCCGTCCCTTCCCCCCCATTTTCTCTCTAATATTCTTTTTTTTTTAATGACACGGCAGGCTGTGTTGCTGCAGAGAGCCAGTTGTTACCGATGGTGAACTTTCACCTTACTGGCCACCAGCACCAGAGGCAGCTGTCTTAACCAATTACACGCTCGGGTTTGAGCTCCACTCAGTGATCATCCAGGTAATGTCTGAGTAAAGCTCCCCCACCACCACCACCACTACCACCACCACCGGGGTCCCATCTCTGTGACAGTGGCGAAGGGTTTGCAGCAAGAAGTGGGCTCAAATTAATTTCAGAGTGCTCTAAGATAAGTGGCAAATGGATACAGTATAGAAAATGAGGAAGCATACTGTAATTGCCTCAGAGAAAGCTTGGAGTCAGTGAGGAGTTTAAGGTTGTAGAGGCAACGCACGGCGCTCTCGTGCCCCTGAATTATCACAGTTAATTATAATTCATGCTTTAAAATGTAAACCAGTGCATTACCATGTTAATTTTAACAGGTCACTCGATATGAGCTGCAATATTTACCAACCATTCAAGTTGTTAAATGTAGACTTCACTGGCAGGGTACACATTCTGTGTCTCTGGTGATGCTGCTGCGGTAGGTACGCGCATGCGTGTGTGTGTGTGTGTGTGTGTGTGTGTGTGCGTCTCACTATTGAAATGTTCTAAGAGTATAGCATCCACTCAGAGGGACAAGAGCTGGCAGACAAAAGGGATTGTTGGTTTTAGAGACTATTTTCAGTTATCCTACTTGGGCTAGAGTGGAGCTACTCCACAAAAACACTCCAATTAGAGAGAGAGAGATGGCCAGAGAGAGAGAGAGAGAGCGAAAGAGAGAGGGGAGGAGTAGAAAGAAAAAAAAAAAGAGAGAAGAGGAGATGGGCTGGCTGAATGGGAGAGAGATGGTGAACTCTTTCTCGCTCGCTGACCTCCTCTCTCTCTCTCTCTCTCCTGTCTCTGTCTGTTTGTCTGTCCTTCTGTTTCTCTCTCACCTTGCTCCTGACCCTCTCTTGGTCTGCGTTGTTAAAATGGGGTGTTCATGTGGTGAGGGCTCTTATGTGGCTCTTACAGAGCTATTGTTTCTGCCAGTGACACGCACACAAGCACACACACACACACACACACACACACACACACACACACACAGCATCGGACTCAAAACAGGCACAAGTCATTTAAAAACAACCCCTTTGCCTTGTCTGTTATCAGTATCAGTCCACTGACTGTGGGGTTAGGCTGCTTCTGGAGCAAAATTAAAAGATTTGCTTTTAAGTTCGAGAGCAATACAAATTTAAAGGCATTTTTACATTCAACTGTCTTAATTTTAAGTCTCTCTGGCTATGACAAAAAAAAGTTGTAATGTTGAGTGTAAAAACATTTCTCCAGTGAAACCAAATTTTTTTTATTTAAATTGCTTTTAAACTTTTTTTTACTTTGCTAATCTAATTAATATGTATCCCATGTTATAACGTCCAAACTATTGCAAATGTTAGATACCAGTCCAACCTGAGCACATGCTAAGTAAAATATTACCGCTAGTTCCCAAGGCATGTCATATTTTACTGTGAAGTTAGTCTGTTGCAATAATTTCAAACCTCCGCAAGCTACAGAGATACTTCAAAAAAAAAAAAAAAAACATGTTTTCAATAACCGTATCAAACCGGCAAAGACAAATTGAAAGACAAACGGCTAATAAACAATCCGCAGTTTTCCTCCGTTTATATTCCGAGAGGAATTCATGAAGCTTAGACAAACAAACGATGAACTCCCCAATATGGTCGCAGAGCAAATTTATGCTCCAAGTGAAATACATGAACCAGGGAACCATTTGGCTTGCACTCTGACTGCTCCAGCCGCTCCCTGCAATAACCCAAAATCAACCAGCTCCGCTCTGTGTTTGCTAATGGGACTATGGATGTTTCAAATAGAATAAAACTCCAGACTCTCTTTCTCTCTCTCTCGCCATTACACACACACACACACACACACATTTTCTCCCTTTACTAGATAATACAGAGTGAAAAACTAGGCCTGTCCACTGTAGACCTAATTAAAAGTAAGAATTAATGGAGAATGGAAGATTCAGAGAGAGCAAGCAGAGAGAGCGCGGGAGGAGGGATGAGAGTGATTTGTTGGTTCAAATGTGTACTTTTTCTCTATTATTCAAATGAGCAGCCTGCATCTTTTCTAAAAATGCAGAGACAAATTTAGCGTCCTGCACAAAGTCGACTTTAACTCTCTCTGAGGAGTCTCGTAAAAGATCATCCCTTAAACAAAAATTACGCCCTGACTTTATCTTTGGTGAGATTTATGGCAGATTGCTGGTGGAGGAAACTGCTGTCTAGATGCGAACATTATGCAAAAGTTATTTAGAGCAAAAGATATATATTTGTCTTGATAGTGTCACCAATCAGATGTTCTAGCAGTGCTCACTGTGATAGCAGAAACAGAAATTGCAAAACATCAGCAAAACTTTTTAAGTGTATAAATATATGAGCATGAATCTAAGTTAAAAATAAATCTATATATAGAAACTAATTTATGGAAATGTACAGCAAATGAGGACTACAGAGGGCACAGCACTGTTGTTTGGACTACAGGTCAGTGTCTTACCTGTGACATCTGCTGCCATTAAGCCCTCAGCCCTGATAACCTTAACTTGGACCACGCCGACATCTTTCAGGTTGTGGAATGACCTCCAGAGGCTCTGAAACATCCCAGAAACAGGGGTGAAAGGTCAAAGAGGATGGCAAATTAGCACCGAAGTGAAAGGCATGTCAATAGCCTGACATTTCATAAAGAGAGGAAAGGGTAGATTATGTCCTTTACCAGCCTTTATTTGAAAATGTAGAGCTGGCATTTATCGAGTCGGGTCTAGTGGAGAAATGGCTGGATTTAAATTTAATGAAATAGTTGTGCATGTCTATTTCAAGTGTTTCCTAACTTTTTACCTTTAAATGTTATGATTTTACCGAATTTTTCGGTAAAGTAGAGGAGCCGTGCTGAAATGACAACAGCAAACAAAAATAATAGGAGTCTTTGATTTCAGAAACATCTTATTAAGTAGAATAACATCAAAGTTGTACAGATTTTAGCATTGAAAGGGAAATTTGTGGTAAGAGTTTGTTACAATTGTTACTGCACAACAGTTTTTGCTATCTCAAATGCAAAGACATTTATACTCTGTTTTAAAGAAAACTAGCTTTTTACAGAGCAAGAAGTTATTCTATATGGATAATGTGAAAAGAAACAACAACAACACTGAGATCTAACTGATATTAATGTGCCTCTTTTGTGTTTGCTTCACACAGAGAGATAGGGAAAAATATGATAAAACATAATGTGCTGAGGAAACATAATAGGTGACGAATGACTTGCAGGCAAACAGAGCACATGGAGTCTACAGTGAGAAGGGATGCACTGTATGCACAAAGTTTCAATAACCAGGACGAGGATGACTGTGTAAAAATGAGTCTGTAAATCTCACGAAGACCTGTGGAGATCATCGGCGCGACCACGAGGCGTGACCACTCGCGCACACACGCAACCGCAAAGTTGTGCTTTTGTTCACACCCAGATTCTCAGGTATAAACACATGCATAGAAAACCTACACTCGGGCCAAATTGAGTAGCATGTCGGCATGTCTTAAAAGCAGAGTGGAAATGCACTTCACTTCAATTTATTTCTCTCTCTCTGGCAATAACCCCTTCCATCCCCAAAGGAGTAATTATAATTTAAATTTCAGAGTCAGGGCCAGGCTACAGACTTAATTCATTATTACCAACTCTGTCAGACTCTGCCTGTTTCCAGCGATATCATTGTCCAAACGCTCTCTAAAGGAGATGAGAGGGGAGAGTGTGCGAAAGAAAGAGAGGGGGGAGAAACAGAGTGCGCAAAAGAGAGACATACAGAAAGAGAGCGCGAGAGAGGGGACAACTCTCGATTTTTAAGGCACGATTTCTCTGAAGATACAGCTGCTTGTTGTGATTATTGGTGAGCAGCAAAGAAGGCGGGGGAGAAAGAGGGGAGAAAAGAGTCGGCAAGAGGGCATGTGGGGGGCGGCAGAGGAAGAGGCAAGGGCAAACTAATAGCTGAACAGTTTGTGTGCTAGAGTTCAAACAGCAAACACGCCGCGATCGGAATGATCCAGCTGTTGGGCTGGGGATCGAAGATCAATACATTTTTTGGCAATGATCAAAGTGTGCCTATAGCGAGGAGTATTAAGAAATGGCACGGGGGTCTGGACATTAATCTCTGTAATGTATCCAGTTTTGACTTTGTTATTGGTCAGATTAAAAATTGTGTTAAAGTCAGATTTCAATCAAAAGCAAATGTTGTAAATACGTGTGTGCTTTCCTCTCAATACACAGATATGCAAAAATGGTATGAGACTAAATGACTTCTTTAATGCATTGATGCTGAGACCCCCCCGAAACGTTCCTATGTAATTCAGCCCCTCCTCCCACCATACGGACTCCCTGAGGGGACCTTTAGAGTTCAGCCTCAATCCATGATTGGTAGAAAGAACACACCCGACCTCCACAAGGATTCAAATCCTCATCAGAAAGACAGACAGGAATAGATGGCTTGGATAGACAGGTAGAAGGAAAGACAGAAAAGAGGCCAAGACCGACCCCCCCTACCCCTAGCGCCCCACTTATGGCTCCATCTACACCCTCATCAGCTCGCAGGTGGAATTATGGGGATAAGGAGGAAATGAAAAAGGAGGGTGGAGAAGAAAATTAAAGGACACAGAGTTGGCTTTCATAAGACAAACCCCCGCCCTGTCTTTGACTGACATCCTGTCACTATGATGTCTTCTTCCCGTCTCTGTCGCACTCCGCAGACACATAAACACACAAAGTGAATCAGCGCCGGCATAGACTTATGACTCACTGTCATCTTTTCAGCATGTCACCTTTCATCACCACCGCATAACATTTCACACTCACACGCAAACATATATACATGGTTCTGATTCACTCTGATTTCATGCAAGGCAGCTGTAGGTTTTGGAGTCAAGCACCCCAGTAGCTGTCCACTAACTTCACATCCTCAGGGCTTAATGGTAAACATTTGGCTCTCACATAATCTAAACACTAACGGGTTTAGATGTGAGCCTAACTGAATGACATATTATGCACTTTATTTGTCTGAATTTTGTGTGGCTGATGATGATAAGCATCTGAAAAAGGGGAAGGCTATTGCCTGACTATACTAAAGCATTTATAGAGTTATAGGTCAGTTGGTTAACAGACACAGTAAAAATTATGTGATGTTCATTGATATGGAACAATCAAAGATTCCCTGCATAGGATTTTAATCGGCTGCCATCTCTTATTTAAAACAAATCGAGCCTGCACGCAAACTGAGGCGTGGTTATAGCAAGAGTTTTTCAAACTGGCATCACCTCTAGCAGCTCTAAGTGTGCTTCTGTGACAACCTGCACAAACTGAAGGCTGCTGTAAACTGTCTGCATCCCCAAAACCTCCTTTATTTTAAGAGTCTCTGCCAAAGTTGCTCTTTGCTCATCTCACAACTTAGCGCAGCCCCTTATTTCACTTCCTGTCCAGGTTGTGTCCTTTTGCTTCACCTTAGAGCAGTGCTCCAAAGTGGGTCGAGGGGTGTGCGTGTGTGTGTATGCGTGTGCGTGTGTATGCATGCGTGCAACACAGCACATGGGGGTGTATGGTGAAGTACCACCACTTTAGTGGAGGTCACCATGTCCTCCTCCTCTCATCCACCCATCTTGTGGCCAACTCAAGCCCATTAAGAGCCATTAGTGTGTGTGCTACTTTGCCATCATAATGCATAAATCTCTTTCTCTCATTTTCCCTCTCTGCCTTCATCCCTTTCTACTTCTGGGAAACAGTAATTAGGGATGAAGGAAAGGTTACAGTGAGCAATAGAACGTCTAAGGTAGTTGCCTATGAGTGAGTGCATTGCACCATGTTGCATATCTCCATTGTCAGATGCATTCAAATTAGTTGGCACAGAAAATCTTGTGTATTCATTTACTCGCACACATGCAGAAGCAAGCGCACGCAGGCACACAGTGACCTGGCAAAAACACAGACACAAAAATCTATTACAATTCAGAAGATATTAATGAGCTCAGTGCTATCAAAATGTCCCCGCACTCAGATGTCCGTTATCGTATTTCATCAATGGCCACAGATTGAATTGGGGAAAAAACCAAACAAAAAAAAAAAACCCCAAATTGCAGCCATTTGAGGTGCGCTCGTAGCGTTTGTGTGGAACAAAGTGACAAGGACATTTCCAGTTTGGAACACAATGATTCTCTAAAACGAAGACAGTAATATCTTCTTAAAAACTCTGGATTTACATGTAGGTGTGTTTGCAATCCACTGCTACACCTAACCTTAAAGTTATCTTTTGTGCGCCTTTTCATCACGAGCAGAGTGTCTACGCTGCCGAAGGGTGCGACAAGCGGACGATTTTGAGTTTTCTTATGAAGGTATCTGCTTTTCAAAGCTGCGATTCCCTGCCATTTTATTAGTTACACACAGGTAGACGCTTTTTTTTGCACATGTCCATACATGTGAGCTTGTTTATGGCTAGCAGTAGTGCATGCTTTGTGCAGGCTTGTGCTGGACAGCTGATTTTTCAAGCAGATAATACCAGTCGGTAAAAATGTGCCTACACATACACCTACGCCTGCACACATCCACACATGCACACACTGGGCAGATTAGTAGGCTTTGAGCAGCACTGTTATGTATTACTGGTGGTACTTGGTCTTAGTAGTGCTCTTTGATAAGGTACATCTTTATTAAATTCTCCAACTGAAAGACTGCCAGTCTGAGGAAAAGGAATATGTTAATAGGTAAAGACCATTCAAGTCTCCAAACCGACCTCACCATGCCCCTCCATCTGCAACCCCCCACCACCTTCCTTCACCCTCTATCTCGCCATCCCTTCATCTAACAGGAGCCATAGCGGCAACAGACAAAGAACTGAGGTTGCTGGGAGAGCAGGAGAGAAATGGAGAGAGAGGAGTAGGAGAGAGAAGGAAGCAGGAAAAGAGGTAGGTGAGGGAAGTAAAATGTGTCGCCTTCAACCGAGCAGAAAAACGGGGTCTGCATGAGTTGTGAGAGAGGTGAAATAGCTTTTTCTTTTCATTTTACACGCCTTCCCTTTTCGGCGCAACCCTCACCCTTTACCCCTCGCCCCCTATTACACACATTCAGGCAAACACACATACACGCACCCATTCTCCTAGCCCTCATTTTGTGACTGTCAGGAGAGGCACAGCGTGTTTGTGTCTCAGTCCTCGAGCTCCCCCCTCTGATGTTGTGTGGTTTCTGCAACGCGTAGCAGAGCGGTCGACCTCCCGTGGCTAGCCAATAAGGCACCGCCACGGTTATGTAGGTCGTGGCACCGATGTTCGGCAACTGCAGCTTAGGCACACATTGAAAGAGGCATACACACACCAGCTAGGATGTGCTACTGGGTACCAGTTCAGATGTAGAAATCCAAACAAATTGTCTAATCTCACAAGTACCGACAGCCCGGGTGAAAACACACAGACACGTATGATACACCCACATGTACACAAGCAGGTCTGTTTAAGTCAACATACGTTCCAACAACTCGCCCAGACAATTAAATCCAATAGGTCCCAAAAGTAAATAAATAAATCAGGGTGAAACTCAAATTAACCAATTAGGCAAACAAATATCCTACATATGGTAAAATGAAATTTTACAGTGAAACAAATTTGGCTGCAGCGCTGAGAGATAGCATGACACATAATTCTGTTGATGGACAGAGAAATGTCCCCTGTGTGGAAGCTGTCACTGAATCAAATCCATTTAAGTGTGTGCGTGTGTGTGTGTGCGTGTGTTTTTGCATCAAGATGTAAAGATGACAGGGTGTGAAGGGTTAACTAGACTAAGACAAAAACACAAAACCATTGTGTTGAGTGGAGGGCCTCTGAAGCAGATGGGGCCTTAGGGCTCTCTCTCGCTTGCTCGTTGCCCTTCACTTTCTCCCTCACTGTCTGTCTCCCTCTAGCTTAACGATAACTGGCTTATGAGCTCGGACATTTTCAGTCAAACGACTGAACCCGCTTGCACTGCTTTCTTGACCTCTCAACCCGCGTATCCGTTTCTGTATCTCCTACTCTGTTGCCTTTCACATCATCTAATTATAAATCAAATCTAAGCACACTGGCTTGTGAAAAAAGACATCTTGATGAGAGAAATTACTCTTCACAAAATGTGATTGGCCATTTTGCCACACTGTCAGGTATATGTCTATATACAAATACCTATAAGTATATGGATATAGAGCAGCTCTGATGCAATTTCTTTTCCTAAGCGCTAACATATTGTGTACTTTCCTCACAAAATTATTAACGCAATCACAGCTTAACGTAAGCTCAAATGCTAACTCACATATCTCTGCTTGATCTGGTGCCGCTCGTGCGGGTCATCCAACATGTTGACTGACAGGTCTGAGATGGAAACAGCAGCAGAAGCAGTGAGTGTAACCAGCAGCACCAGAACGCCTTCACCTTCTTCCAGTGGCAGGTCCAATTTGTGTGTGTGCTCTTTACTAAGAAGCGACAGGTCAATGGTACACCTAGAGAAAAGAATAAACAGACACAAAATGAGAAAGTTGTAGACTTTGTGATGAAACTGACAATGAAACATACTGCAGGCCTTATATACTAAAAGAGACAAACAAAGTCATGGTAGGGGTTTGTGTTTACAGAAAGAAATGTGTCTAAATTACCGCAGAGCGCCCGTGAAATAAAAGAAGAATATAGAGAATCTCAGGTTTCTTTTGTTCATTTTTTATCACCTCACTAACTGAAGTTAAGCATCACTTAATAAGTAAACATCTTGTGTAAGATAAAAGCAACAGACAGAAATTCAGCCAAAGCTGACACCATTAATACCTTTTAGAAGACACTTGAGAGCATCTTCTCTTGATTGAATTGATTTCTTAGCATGCCTTTAATATATCTACAGCTAAAACAGAGGCAGGCCAACAGTAATTGCTTTACTTGGGCCAAACAGTTCAAAGCAAAGGTTTGCTCAAGTACATCCACTCCGATGAAAGACAAATGAAAGAAATCATTCTCACTATGAAAGACTGTAGGGCAGTGTATCAATATGCACAGGATTGAGATGCTCTGCAATAATCTATGCTGAGAATTAGGCAAATAAGACAACTGTGTACTAAAACTAACCCTTACTAAAATGCACCTTTTATCAGCCTGAATAAGCAGTAAGCCTTAATCAACCATACAATTAAAAAAACCAAAAAAACAAAAAGCAAACAAAACAAAATATCCAGACGCTCCGGTAAAGACCATCGTACCGTCCCATGAAGTCGTCCTTCTTGCCAGCATCTTTGTCCCAGACTGTAATGTCCACAAAGCCTCCCTGCTCATCGTACAAGTGGAAATCAAACTGTTCTCTCCACTGAGGGTTCAGCGTTTTTGAAATTGTCTGAAAAAAAAAAAAAAATCAAACAAGGACATTCACTCTGCCCATGTGTCCATTTGTTAATGTGAGCTATAATTTGTTAGATAATATATGAGCTGGAACCGCTATCAAAATAAAGAGAGTCAAATAAATAGCATAAAGAAATAACAAGTAAAATAAAGAGCATAAAAAATGTAAATATGCCTGCAGAAAGATAACACACAACTAGAGCTGATTTTAAAGACTGATACTGATATTTGGTGACTCGAAAATTATAAAGTTTTATCAAAATTCTATAATCTTAACATCATCTCATTCGTGTGGCTTACCTTACTCTTGTACTTTTGGTGACCCATCCTGAATTTGACGTAAGGGTCACTGAGACCATTGGCATCCATTGGCTGCAGGCCATGGCCCTCTATGAGACTGATGCTGACTATACCTCGCCATAACTGGGCTTTTCGGTGTACATCCGACAGACGCATACTCTGATACTGCAGCAATCACACACACACACAAACACACACGTACACATTTATACATTTGCATGCACATAGAAACAAACCCACAAAATAGAAGAAATTGCAGCATTCATCAATTTATCAAGGCTTGCATACACTTTGCACTTCATTCACCGGAAAATAACCGATATCAAATGCATTGAGGCGACACATAAAGAGCAGGCACAAGAAACAAGATAATACTTGAACATAAAATGTGGTAATTCAAGGTAATTTGCTATGTATGAGTTCACCTGACATGCCAGGGCCTCGCTATAAATTACAGCACTGCATTATCCACTTACTCTGAACAATTTCTTGGCAATGCTAAAAAGCGTTATTACTGTGAGTATCAACATTTCATCCATATTTGTGCAAAAATGCACAATATGTATCATAACCTCCTTTTATCCTTAAACAGGGTACAGCAGCGTGAATATTCATTTTTATTGTACATATTCTAAACATTATGTTAGAAAAAGGAATAAAAGGGAACAGACTTGTTAGTTTTTACTCCAAAACTTGGGGAACCTTGCAGTTACTTATAGTTTTCCTCTGTACAGTACATTATTATTCCATCTGGCTACTGTAAACTACTGTAATTCAGATTGATTATTCTCCATATTTTAAGTCTTTTTTTACCCTCAACACTTTTCTTAGCACTTACAGGCCTATTTAACCTCTCTTTGAATCGTGTCAGTGTCCTTCACTAAAACAAAGAGCAGGGTTATTTATTTGTCAAACAAATACACTTCCACTTTCTCCCTCTGCCTTGCTCTCGCCTCCTTCCTTGTTAGGAAGAACATATTAGCATAGCTTTTGTTTTGAGGGTGAATTTCATTAAACTCTGAACAAACCCTGCCTCGCAAGCGCAGGCCTTTGATCTAGAGATGGAGCTTCTTAATTTCCATTCTCCAGACATTAAACATTGGGAATAGCTCCCTGCATTAAATCCAACCTCCCATACAGCAACTCCCACATCCTCCATGGCTCCCGTTCACTGCTACCAACACGCTATATGCTAATGATGAGAGGTCGCTGTTATGTCCTACTGTATTAGAGCACAATCCCTTTTCCCTTGCATCCTTCTTTTTTGTTGCCACATATTTGTTGTTATAGAAAACCATGGGCTATTTGGATTAGGAATCCATATCTCACTGCCAGAACACAGCAGGATGGAGCGCATACACAAAGATGTTCACAGGCTGAAAGTCTTTTAATACAGTTTAAGAACTAATACTGTGTTGCACAGGGTTAAACTTTTGCCAGCCCTCTCGAAGCAGAAAACATATAAAAAATATTCCCAAAATCAGCATTTTGCCCTGTGGTAAAGTTAGAGAGACCTGTATTAACATGCCTCTGCCTCCTAATTATTATTTTAAAGTTTGCATCTTCTACAGTGGGTTCAATAGTCATATATGCTTCTTTAAGGAAGAAGCGGTGGTGTAAAAATAACTATGTACTGTATGCAACACAGAGGCAAGCAGTGCTTTTTTGGTGGGGTAGCAAAAGCAAATAGTTAGTGTTTCAGTGAATTCCCGAGTCACAGGCAGGGTGGCACAGTTTGAAGGCTTCAAAGGCTTGGTTTGGGGAGGCACGATACAGCAGGACGCCTGCCCATCTCCAACCAAACATACTTCAAATGTCTCTTGGTGGATATCATAAAGTTTCTATCTCAATAACACTAAAAGTGAAATGTGAGTAAAAAAAAACAAACAAACAAAATAAAAGTGTGAATAAACTCAATTTTGAGCTCAAAATTGTTCCTGTCACTAAAATTGCTGAATTGAAAGAACAGACAAGGTATGTGCATCATGCACAAGCCAGTAAGAAGAAGCGGAACATCAAACAGCATGCTTTCTGTTCAACCTCACGGCCAACAAGAATCACAAAAAATGAAATCAAAAGTTAACAGCCCCTTATGTGCGGCAAGATGGGAACTCATAATGATGTCAAAATGTTTTTTTCACTGGATGCCAAAGGTGTCTAGGAGTGTCCTGTAGTCAGTAAAAAAGTCAAAAGTCAACAATACTTCATATCTCACAGCATATTTGCTGTAGAGGACTTCTTAAAAACCCCAGAATAGAAATCTGCCTTATTTTCCCACATAATAGCTGCAATGCACTGCAAATCAAGGGTGGAAGAAGCACAGAGATCTCACTGATGAATGATTCGAACTGCTTCAAAGTGTAAAAATCAGTGGAATCACAAAAAAGAAAATTCTGAAGCTGCATTATTACTGACTGATTTCACAAAAATGGCACCAAAGTTAGCAAGTTTTTAATAAAAGTTCTAACAATTATTGCTGATCTTTACAACTAGTACAGCAAGTGCTCTTGAAAAAAAAAATGCTACTGACTGTAAGGTATTTCCTCCACCCTTAATATTTATATCACATATAGTTAGGTCCATACATAGTTGGAGAGCTGTTCACAGAAACATATTTCAATTATAGTTATATATTGGACATGGACATAATGTGCAGACTCTAAGCTTTAATCTGAGGGTGTCCACAGTCAGATCGGATGAAGGGTTTAGGAGTTTCAGCTCCTCCTGCCAACCTCTTTTCAAAGTGACTCAAAGGCTATTTCATGGGCAGATGGTGGATAATTCTTTATTATGTCATTATCATTCAAGCAGATAAAAGCCCTAGAGTTGATTTGAGGTGTGCAGCTTGCATTTGGAAGATTTTGCTGTGAACAGACAGCATGAGGTCAAAGGAGCTCTCCATGTAGTTGAAACAAGCCACCCTTAAGCTGAGAAAACAGAAAAAAAACATCTGATAAACTGCTACAATATTAGGAGTAGCAAAATCTACAGTTTGGCACATCCTGAGAAAAAAAAGAAAGCACTGGTCAACTCAGGAACGCAAAAAGACCTGGACATCTATGGAAGACAACAGTGGTGGATGATCGCAGAGTTATTTTCATGGAGAAGAGAAGCCCCTTCACAAAAGCCTACCAAGTGAACAATACTCTCCAGGAGGAAGGCGTATCGATATCCAAGTCTACCATGAAGAGAAGACTCCATGAAAGTAAGTACAGAGGGTTCACTGCAATTTGCAAGCCACTCATAAGACTATGGCTTGTGAGTGGCTTGCAAAAAAACCAAAAAAACCCCCAAAATAACCATCTAAAAAAGAATATATATAACAGTTCTGGAAAAACATTGTCTGGACAGATTAAACCAAGATCAACCTCTACCAGAATGATTGCAAGAAAAAAGTATGAAGAAGGTGTGGAACAGCTCATGATCCAAAGTATACCACATGATCTGTAAAACATGGCTGAGATAATGTGGTGGCTTCGGCGTGCTTGGCTGCCAGTGGCACTGGGACACTAGTGTTTATTGATGATGTGTCACAGGACAGAAGCAGCCAAATGAATTCTGAGGTGTTCATATACGTACTGTCTGCTCAAAACCAGCTAAATGCAGTCAAATTGATTGAGCGGCATTTCATAATACTGAAACACACAACCATAGCAACCCAGAAGTTTATTACAGGCCAAGTCTGTCGTCTGATCTTATCCCAGTTGAGCATTTCACTTGTTAAAGACTAAACTTTGGACAGAAAGGCCCACAAACAACAGCAACTGAAAGCTGCTGCAGCAAAGGACTGGCAGAGCATTAAAAAGGAGGAAACCCAGCATCTGGTAATGTCCACGAGTTCAAGCATTCAGGCTGTCATTGTCAGCAAAGTATTAGAAATGAACATTTTATTTTAAGTTATTTAATTTGTCCAATTACTTTTGAGGCCTTGAACTGATGGAATTGTGTTAAAACGATTTAGTTGCTCACATTTTTAATCAATGTTTTTGTTCAACACGCTGAATTAAAGCTGAAAGTCTGCACTTCAACTGCATCTGAGTTGTTTCGTTCAAAATTCATTGTGGTAATGTACACAATCACAGTCAGAATAAAGTCGTCTCTGTCCAAATATTTACGGACCTGACTGTATGACTTGCCTTCACACGTGCGAAGAATAGTTCACCTTTAAGCTCACTTGCATTCCAAAAATGAGCTGACATAACCTCAGCAGATGCAAAGTATATTGCAGCTTGTGGAAAATAAGCTGGTGACAATGAGAACTGGAGAAATATTAAAGAAAAAAAAAACTGCCAATACCACATTTGTGGAAGGAGGAAACGGAGGAAGGGAGGGGAAGGGCCACGGAGACTCCATCCATGTACCAGAACACCAGTGAAGAAGGACAGGTGAGGTGCAGTGCGGTCGGTAGTGGGGTTACAGTACAGTTAGAGGTTTCATGAGTTACATGCTGTTTTAGTTTACCTTACTAGATCGTTTCCAGTTCCTTCTCAAAAGCATGGTCTGTAAATGAGACAAAGCGGTTACAGAAAACCCCCCAGTATCCCCCTTTAAGGCTGAACGGCCAGAGGTTAAAGGGCATGGAGGTCAGTGATAGGGGTGTGAGGGGGACAGGGAGAGTAGGGCAGCCACAATCATGCAAGTTAAGTGAGTGTACAGTATAAGCACTAAAGCTCTTACCTGCTTACATATTTGAATAATTCTAATTAAGTATTTCAATTCACTGGACACACAAATAGATTTTGTGGTGGCAAGCTATAAAAATCTCCTTAAAATGCATCGAGTCTTCTTCACTGCCTCGCACTATGTCACAGATTTTGGCCCTCTCTGTTTTTGAGAAAAAAATGAAGAAACAAATCCCATCGTGTTAAACAAACGCTCATCAACTTTAATATAACTGAGTAAAGTCCCATTGTTGACGCTGAGTTGTCATCGGTTGCTCGAGGATCTCAAAAAGCAAATTAAAGTTATATATTCCATCTTACAGGCTCGTACCAGTAGATGGCAACAGAGAGAATTTATTACTATAACCTTGTACTCAATTTTTTCACAGTGGGAGAAATCCAAACTGGTGCTTAACCTAAATAGAGTTTATTTGTTCTGTCAATTGTGGACTCTCTGAACTACAGTAGCAAATAAGCTGCAGAATTAAGACATCAGATCAAAAGGAATAAAATATTTCCCCCATGACTCTGCGTTGGTCTGAATCGAGCATGCAGGGGTCCAATTAACCAAACAAATAATTGAACATAAATAAATGCAACTCCGAAATCCATTGCACGTCCGCAGAGGCACGAGCTAACATAATTAGGAAAGAAGATCCAGTGCTCTTTGAACATGCAACTTTTCCACACAACATATTCATTACACTTTAGTTTATGCATATGTATTTGCTGAGTTGAGTTTCTACTAAGTGAGGCTGAATGAAACCAGCACATTGTTCTTTAGCACAACTTGAACTTCATTTATGTCCTAAAACTATTGACCTTTCTAGTGTCTTTCAGAAAAGTGATGCTAAAGTGAAGGATTAGGAATATGATTCATCCATGTTGATCTACTGTAGGGATGCGATACTCTTTATTTTAAAATAAAAGAGTGATTCCCCCCAAAAAAGAGGATTTGTGGTGTATGCATGAAAGGACAGAGATGAATGAATAATCAGAGTTATTATAGATTTCCAGATTTCTTACAGCATCCCTCACGTCTCCCTCCTTTGGTGTCAGAGTAACGGATAGTTCCAGGCTGCCCAGGTTATGTTCAGGGTACTGTGGGTCCTTCAGGTCCAGTGTCACGTCCAGTGCCCTTTGGAGATAAACAATAAGCCATATTCACATGTTGTTTCCTGTAAGCACTTACATATATAGTGTACAAGCAGTCAAATGCATTGTGGAAATCTGATTTAAAAAATTCACTCTGTGACGTTATTAGTGAGTTTTATGTTAACATCAACACAGCCATGCAACATAAACAAAAACAAGTTATCGAGCTAATTTAACCTTTTACTAATTCGCTTTCAAGGTCTTTATATAGTTTTTACGGCAGGTGTCTTAACTTGTCATAGGTGTAAAAGCGCTGAGTTATACTTGCTCTATGAGGTCATATTCTCCTCTGTAAAAACAGTATATTGTGTAAGCTGACTTCCCATCACACTGATTGCTTAATAGGGCAACCGATTAGACTGGACTCATTATTATCAGAAATAACACCTGCATATAGCAAGAGTAAATGTGTGCTGTTGCCAGTTTAGATTCACCCAGCCTCTATGTGACTAGAAATAAAACAAGCCAAGGTAACCAAAATCATATTCATGTGCCTTTTCCCTGAGATGTTCGCACTATATAATGCAAAATAATCAATTCCACTTGAGATACTATACTTTATACTGTAACAAACTGCTGTAAAAACACAGTACACTTAAATTATCAAAAATATTGATGGATCTGAGCTACTTTACAAACTTACATTATTCCTTTTGTTTTTGTAAGCTTAGATTTACATGTATAGTACTTATTAAGTCAGTTACTTGATATATTTTACTGTATTAAACTCTTAATATAGATTATAATGGAAACACCATATGATACCAGTCTATCAGCTCGTTGTATTATAAAGGTCATGTTCTATATTCTATGTTCTATATTATATTTAATTTTACAATAACAAACTGTAAAAATAAATATGTCTGTACATTACTTTAAATAACAGGGATATTTGTTGCAGTGTATGTCTGTCTATGGTTTCACAGGCAAACGTTTAGCTTCATGAAAATATGAGCTGAAGTAACAAAGATTGCCACTAGAGGGAAGTCAAAGACTATATCTACTTGCTAGTACAGGCTTTGAAGGCAATCCATAGATACAGAGTCAATCAGACTGCTTACTTAATAGGGAATCAAAAAAGACCAAGGGTGTAAAAGTGCATTAAAAAAAGGCAGGTAATAACATATTATAAGTCAAATAAGAGAAAGAGACCTCTGATGTTCCAGTGACTCCAGATAGAGGTATGCTGAGCCCATGAAATCATCCTGAAGTCCAAAGTCATAGTCAAAGACCTACAAAGGGACAAATATAAAACAGCTACTTTAAGTACAGCAATGGTACAAATGAAGACCTTTTACCCTTTATAACTTCTACCGAAAGATTTAACATTAACTTAAAGAAAGACATTTTAGAGCTAGGTGACATTTTTGCCTCGGCACTTATCTTCTGTACCTTTACATACAGTGGGTCCCTCAGGGTTTCCACCAGAAGGCTAACTCTCTCATCCCACACTGGGTTGAGGTTCTTATGGATGGTCTTGCTTCTAAACACTTCCTTCCCTGCAATCTTAAACTTCACGTATGGATCACTGGTCCCTAAGAAGAAGAAAAGCAAACACATAAAAACACACAGTCATATGTGATTAAAATACAATTCTGACATAGGCTGTCGATTTAAATATTGATTGGACAAAGGCATTTTTCATTTTCCCATTATTTTAATGGTCAAAATGGCATTACCTTCTTCACTTTGTCGAATTTACTGAAGAGCAGCAACTCTGTTGTGAAAAAATATTTGCTTCTGCCCACTGATAATAGAGTAATCAGGACTTACAGGATTTTGTCAAAATAAAAATAAATAAATACTGCCTCTGCACAATTTCTTAACGTGAAAACTGTATTTTTTAATTTTATTTATTATTTTAGACTATTTTTATTTTGTATTATTTATGCCAAACCTCCTCAGATCAATTTTAAATACAAACATATGAAAAGCTTGATATGCTACTGTGAAGCAGGCTCGGAGAGAATCGGCCACGTGACTCAAAGTTACGGTCATGTGATACAAATATGAAAGCTGGCTTTATATGACCACTAGGTGACGGCATTGGTTCGTATTGGTGTTATTCTGTGGAGCACAAACTGCAAACAGGCACCGATGCTTACAATGAATACAAAAACAATTAACTTTAATGGGATCAACGAACCAACCTAACAAATTTCCCACGTGTGGGAATAAAGGTTATCTTATCTTATCTTGTCTTGTGTTGTCTTATATTACATGGAAGCAAATAAATCTAATTTTAACCCATACAGAAATAATTTTAGATCAAATCAATAAAATGTTATTTTACAGCTGTATCCCATTACTTAAAACACAAGCTGCACTCTGAGAGGTTATGTGCACATTTATACATGACTGGCTGTTAAACTTGTCGTATGTATCCACATGTATGTGAGCTACTTAAGCACTGATTCTACGATTCCTCAACAAGCATCTATATTGTTCAGGACAGTAAACCCTTCCCCTTCAGTCAATTAGTCAATTATAGTTTAAGGGCTTCACATACACAACAACACTGGGGAAAAAAACAAATTAAAAAAAATATTTATATATACACACACACACACCCACACACACAATCCTGTTCAAATAAGTATTTAAGGAAGAAAAACTACTCTGTAAAGCCACTCTTAATGTGGCTGTACCTGACAGTGAGTAGTACAGTGGTACAATGAAAAGCACCAATGCTGACTCTATTCCTGTTAAGTCAAAACAAAGTTTAAATGCAAGAGCAAGGAAGTGTGTCATTAGGAGTTTCCTAAAACTGTTGGTAAAATGTGCTTCCTGAATCGAGGCTGTTTCAAAGTTTGGGGAATGAAAACCAAACTGCATCCTCAACTATTTTGTCTCTCTGCCTAACAGTTTGGCAGTGAAGGATCTCAGGGAGTGAACTGGAACATAACATGACAGATTGTCAGAAATGTTCGATGGTCCAAGACAGTGTAAGGCTTTATATACAAGAGCCTTTTAAAGTGGATTCTGTACAATACTGGAGGCCAGTGCAGAAACTATAGTGACTTCCTCTTGGTTACTTGTGTTAGTGAACCTTGGAACCTCTAAATTAGCTACAGCCTGCTAATGTTTTTCTTTTCTTAGAAAATCCAGCCAAGAGAACAGAAATAATCCGGTTTACTGTAACTAAATGTATGAACAAGTTTTTCTGAATCATGGAGAGTCATTAAGGATTGCACTTTGGAGACAGTGAAAAGAAGCACATCTTGGTAATGAAATCTAAATTATGTGGGATTTGAAAAAAGAAGGTTTAAAATAACTCCAAGACTCTTAACTTGTGGCTTTAGTTTGTCAGCTGCCTAACTTACCACAAATGTACAAAGTTACAGTGCATTTTGAATGTGTCCCAATGCCGGCAGTTTTTGAAGACGAAAACGATTTTATTGTTGCAAAGTTATCATCTGTTGTCATTTAAAAGTTCCTCGTCATTTTTTTTTGTCTTCATTTACTGCATATCTGTTTTCAAGCATTTTCTATATCTACCCAAGGTTTTCTTATTTCCCCTCTGTTAATGAGTCTGCTGGGGAGTCTGTGCTTATCTAACATGATGTTCTGAGAGTAAAGGGTAATGTACTCTATACAGATTGTTAAAAAGAAAAAACCCTAGAGGCAAATTTAGTGATATTGCACTATATCTAAACGAAATCTGTTTGACTTGGGTAACTATAATTATGATGTGTAATATCTTCCAATGAAACAGTACCCTGATGTGACTGTTTATACAGTACGTGACTTGAATCACTGTTGTGCTATCATCCACTGTGACCAAAACACCAAGGGAGGGAATGGTAATATCGAGCAATTCTGATTTATCTACAAACAGAGATGTGCAGATGCACTGCACGTTAACGATACTTTCCAAAGTCAAAGGAAGAATGTTGACTATATGTTGTACATTAACATATGCTAAATATTGACAAGCAACAGAGATCAATAGCAGCCACAGAGCATGTCTTTTATATCCAACAATTTGCTCTGTTTTCTCTTAAAGAGCTTGAACTGCTGACTGACAGCACGGGAACTAGTGGATAAAAGCTTCTCTGCTCAGTGTTTGCACGTCTCATCAGTTCAAGATAGAGTCTTTCCCTATCATTAGCATGACAATACCAGCGAATATCTGACTCCTACATAACGACATTGCTGATGCTTATGAGAGGCAGTAAAGAACAGTAATGACACGACTTGTCGACTGGGTTATTTTGTCACTATAATAAAAATGAAGCATGAGTAATTATGTTGACGATTATCGTCAGTATAATTTTATAATATACTCAATAGTTTAACATATGCAACATATTAAGTGGTGTGTTTTTTCAGTGCTAGGAGGCTTTGCTCTCATCAGGCCAGTGTCTTTGCAAAGACACTGGAAAAGGTGTCTATTTCTTCACATTTAAAATGACTCACACACCCTCAAGCTCACTTGCAGAGCCACTAGAGACACACACATGTAGCTTTTTACACACCGTTGCTCTTGACACGTTACTGCAAGGAAGCTGCGGCAGGAGGACACGAATGACAGGATAAGAAGAAGAAGAGAGGTAACCATATACAGCAAGTCACGTCAGAGAAACAAAAAGAAAAAAATCTAGAAAACGCTGCAACATCTTATATCACTGATATGAGCTGATAATTTATGAACTATCTGAAATGGTCCCAAACCACAGTGTGCAGCTAAAGGCATTATTTTCTAAAAGTGCTCCAACTTTCTTTCTCTATCTCGCTCTCGTTCTATATCCCAGCAGGTCAATATTCCTCAGACACACATCATTGATTCAGACCTTCTGCATCCCACAGTGCCAGCTTTATGAGGCCATAAACACATGCAGGCTGAAAAGTATGAAATAGAAAAGGCTTTTGCTGTGGGTGGCCGAATATGAGTGAGAGTGGGTACAGCACAGAGGAGCGAGCAGAGAGATGCTTTCTTGGAAACCGACTATTATGTATGACATTCATATCTGATTTTTCAAAAGACTGCACACTTGGGAAAAGCCCATAAAAATTAGGAGTTTTATGTCTCAAATGTGGGCTGTTGGGTAGATAGATCAATAAGCTATAGGTTTTTGTAAGAGGTGTGATGGATTGGTTGTCACGATCCTGGGTCATCTGACCCAGCGTTTTGAGTTTTTATATATTTTGATGTTTATGGTTTATGTTTAAGTTTATTAGGTTATATTTCATTCTATTTTGCCTTGATTGCCATTTAGTTCAGTGTTTCTTAGATCCATTTGTGTCATCTCCCCCTGTGTTTAAGTCTCGCTTGTCGGTTTGTCATGTTGAGTCTGCGTGTTTCACGTATGCGTGTCCTATGTTATCAAGCTCTTGTCATGTCTGCGTCCCGTTATATTTCCTGTTTAATTTTGAAGAGGTCTGGTGTCCCATGTTCACTGTGTTTACTTTCACTAACCCTGTAGTGTCATTATGCTCATTCTAATCAGCTGTTTTCCCATGTGTTTCCACTTCCCCGGTCACCTCCTGTGTGCCTTTAGTCTGTGTGTTTTCATTCATTCCTCGTCCAATCGTCTGCTATCCTGCTATGTCATGCCATGTTTCCAGATCTATGAATCCATGCCAAATCTTCACGTTTCCGGTTTTCCATGCCAGATTTCTATGTTCACGTTCCAGAGTTTATGTTTAGAATTAGTTCTTCCCAGTTTAGGTTATTGTTTAGTGTCGCCTTTGACTTTTGTTTTGTAATGTTTTACCAGCCTTAATAAACGTCTCTCCTTCTGTTAAGTTTGAGTTTAGTTTTCGAGTATCTGCACTTGGGTCCACCTCCTCACTCCACACAGTCTGCATCCGCACACTGGGACACTGGTTTGCCAGGACATTTGTTCACCTTATGAGCAGAAAGCTACAGAACCGGAGGGACACTGGGTATAAGGAAAAACATGCAAAGGTCACAAAAATGGGTGCTCTGGGTACTGAAGTGCTACCATGGGAAAGTGATTACGAATCTCTGTCTTTCTGCCATTAAGTTGCACTTATGCTAATAAATATTGAGCAAAACATATGAGGTACTGAGAAGATCACAAGCAAATTTAAACTCTAAAGTCTTTAAATACACCATCTGGAAATCCAAAACCCAGCTTTCTGAGTCACATTTGCTCTTTCAGCTTTACACAAGAGGATTTTTAAAGCTCTTCCCTGGACAGGAAACAATCAGGTTGACTAGGCAAGTGGAACGAGGAAAATCTTGCCATCTGAGCAATGTTGATACTGTATTGACATTAAAAAAGAAAGAAATAAAAAGAAAAGCTACTGAAGTGTGTGTTTTGCCTTTTTGCTTTAATAGTTATACTCCTAAGATAGCCTACACCTGTGAAGATTGAACAATGAAATAAAAAGAAATCATCTTATATGTATGTAACGTATTTTAACTGAACTGGTTTGGATGTTTAATTCATTGAATTGAATGGGTGGAAGAGTTCGCAAAGGAGGCTTCTGGGACCAGATTCAGTAATGATAAAATTGGCTGACTCACATGAAGCTTCACCTACTAACATGATGCTTGTGTCAGCGC